TGTTGTCTCCCGCTTCTGGGAGCGACGTGGCCATTTTGTGGCAGTTGTACATAGTAGTAGTAGTAGTGGTTGAGTGTGTGTGTGTGTGTGTGTGTGTGTGTGTGTGTGGTTGCGTGTGTGTGTGTGTGTGTGTGTGTGTGTGCGTGCGTGTGTGTTGGGGGGGGGGGGCGCGACATATGGTACAGTGATATGTGCAGACGATTTCCAATCGAGAGGTTGCGGGTGCAGTTCCCAACAATTAAGTTTGCACGCGTCTTTCTTCTCTTTCTCCTTCTCCTAGCTCTTCTTTCATTCTCCTCGGTGGTTACGAACAGCCAGTGCATACCGAAGTAAAAGAGAAAATATGATCGACAGCCTTGCAAGCTGTTGAATGGTGTAATCCCAGCACCAGTTGCTATGTCTAACATAGCTTGTTCGCTATCATCGAATCGGCGATGGGCAGGAGCATGAATATGAGTTTGAGAGTGTGTGTCTTTGTGTGTTTCTGTGTGTGTGTGTGTGCGTGCGCGCGCGCGTTTGTTTAGTATCCAGAGAGACCAAAGCAAAGCAGCTACCATAACCGCAGACGACAACACTCCTACACATTCTGTATTAGTTGTGGGTCTGAAAGCACGCATTGCCAATTCTGCTCAGTCTCTTGAGGAGCATCACATCCTGTGCTGGTGACTGGCTATGAAAGCAATAGCGCTAATCTACATACACCATCTCTATAACAAAGGGTTTGCTCCCCACACTGGAACTCGCGCTATTCCGCCGACTTAAGTTGAAACTTGACTGACTAACAACTGCCATCCAGAGCACACGCGAAGTAGGGAGTGGTGCTTTCTTGCAGGTTTGCCGAGTCGACGGTTCGATTGACTTCGCGTGAGCTCTGGATGGCAGTTGTTAGTCAGTCAAGTGTCAAGTAATGTCGGCGGAATAGCGCGAGCTCCAGTGTGGGGAGCAAACCCTTTCTTACAAATCATCGCCGAAGTCGCAACCACTATCTCTATAACATAATTATTTCTATTTGGACGCAAATGACAATAATTGGCTGTCCAAATTTCCTTTTCGACTTCTTGAAAGGGTGAAAACTTTTATGATTCAGTTCCCAGACCGGAGCCTTCATATAGCTACTATTATTGTCCTGTATTCCGATTTTGACTCCCCGGGAAGGACCGTGTAAAGATGAATGCTTAAGGTGGCGTTACCCAGACCTCAAACGACATACGCCTGCGCTGGCCGAGCCGTGATGAGGGATCGGGAAGCAACAACGAACCCGCTAACCGTAAAAGCCATTCTAAAGGCGTGCCCTGACATCCATGCACTTCTCACCATACGGTTTAGGATCGGATCCGTGTCTCCATGTGTTGTTGCCACTGGTGATCCCTGATCGCATGAAGTAACAGTTAGTTGTGCCCGATTCGCAGCAAAGAGCTATCAGTGAGCAGGTATACGTTTTCAATCGACCGCATGATGACGAGTTTTCGGTTATCACAGAATGGTGAATATCTAAGACTTCTTCTCCCAAACCTGGTAGCATTCTAGTCACAGTCATCCACACGGGGGTTGTGAATAGGCTGTCTAGGATGAATGCTGTGCGACGAAGGAAAGCCGATCACCTATGAAAGGCGTGCCATCCACAGTGCTGCTGTTCGTGTCACTAAACTACGCCCGGTTTGAAACCTCATTCGAAGAGAATCAATGGGACTGCGGCAATAAGCAGTGAAAGAATTCAGCCTCCAGGATTCCTGAAATACATGTTGTATGCTTCATTTGTGTAGGTAAGGCGCACTGGCACCAGTGGCCAAGTTAAAAAAAGATTTTATGGTGATACTTGTGTGTATTGTACATAGTGCAATAGTAGAGATTGGAAGTTAAATTGTGTTGTGGAAATTCTAACGAGAACCCAACCACAGTCCAACTCCTCATGGAACTTTGTTTCTCAAGAATTCTGACTGGTTGATCCATATCTGCTGGTTCGAAGTTCACTGACATCATTTTGGTGGTCTGTGGGCTATACTTCGAAAGTATTATTAATATTTTATAGTTAATTTGGCCTAACATTCCTGATCAATGTCTAGATGATCCACAATGGGCGAAAAGTTGGTTGTCATTTTCATTCATTGTGTGCAGCAGAGTCCGTGTGCAGCAGAGTCCCCCCCCCCCCCTTCAGTCCATGTTGTCTCCCCCCCCCCCCCCCCCTCTCGCTCTATCTCTCTGAACATTCACTCGTTACAAGAGGGATGTATATAAGTACTGGTCTGGCAATACGGATATTGGCAGCACTGCTAGTTGCAATCACGGCGGACGGCGATTTCCTTGACAACATTAAAGGTACGCGTTACTATCCTGTGGGTATTGTGCAGTGCCATGCACAATTTGCAATAATAGTTATAATAAAAACAATACCAGGGCACGGGCATTCTCAAGTCGAGGGAAGGGAAAAAGGGAATTGTTTGAAGAGAACATTGACTTTCGGTTAGTTATATAATTATGAGAGCTCAATTATGCGTTCCGCTGCCGTCCTATCCATTGTGAACACCATTCTATGATGTAAATGCAGTTAGCTAATTGCCTGTGTCCCCAGATCGCACCCCCCTCTGGACGTATGAGTTTGTTTCCCTGCCCAACTCAATCAGACGCATTTCCTGATAGATGTCTTATGAAAAATGGATTCGCCATGTTCATTTTGCTTTTTCGTGTTGTCCGCCTAACAAAGGCTATTCATGGCTGATTGTGAAGACAACGCCTGTGTAGCGATGCCCCAAAGAACAGGGAGCATCGTGTCACGGGTCCTGGAACTTGTTTGTCAACAATTTTCCTGCACATATTGACAACATACGTACTTCAAACAGGTAGTTGATCCTCACGAGCACTCTGAAACAGTCTCTCAAAGGGTTCTAGCTTCCTTTCCTTCTATCTATTTGATCACGTTTACCATTCCTACTTTTATCACTCTCTTTCGTGCTTCAGTGTCGAAGAATAAAGGAACCCGTAGCCACCCAAATCAGCAAGCCGCCAAGCCAGATCAAGTATCCCCGCGTGAGTAATCTCTTACATTTATAGACATGAGGGGTACGAACTTAGGCTAAGGGGCTTCCATCTTCTGCCTGAAACAAACTACCTAATACGTCTTCATGTGGAGGAGAGTGGGAAGAATAAGACTTAGTGTGAGCAAGTTGACAGGCAGCTTGCATGAAGGTCAGCATATGTATAATACATCCCACTATTACGCTTGTACGTGAAACGTAAACCATCAAACAAACCCCGGATGCGCCTCGGTTTATACATCGGTGTATATTTCAGGTACAAGCGTACTGTCGAGATGTATTATACACGTGTTTCACGTCATCGACCTGGATGGGAAGGAATTTTTACGCCTCCCGTACTGACAACCTGTACTTGTTGATTGTCTTCGTTCATTTGGGTTTCTGTTTCCAGGGACACTGACAGGCCATAGGTATTGCTCCCGGACGTCAGCTATCCTCAAACGCACACCCGACTATGCTTACTATAGTTTCCCCGAAGCTAAACAAGCGTGTGAATCGAATAACGGACAACTTCTCACTGAGGAGTCGTTTTGGTCTGGATGCACGTCTGGTCTTCTTCCAACGCAGTTAATTGCATGGATGATTCCGAGTGGTGCTGTCTTGCATGGTTGACAGAGTGGAAGGTTTGATGGACTTCTCGTGTTCTATGGCTGTCAAGTGCCAAGTCAGACAGCGGAAAATTGCGAGCTCCAGTGTGTGTGTGGGCAGCACCTGTATTATAAAATCAACCCGAAGTTACAACCACTATCTCGTACTGTTGTGCCCAACGCGGGTTTTCGACACGTTGATGTGGAGGTGACAGCGCTGCGAATGGCGAAAACAACTGTCCCCAGCGTCTGATCTTCTTACAGGGCTGCCACTTGCTCCGATATTTCGGAAATCCTCCGATTTTTGATCGCCTGTAGGACAAACCGACCGATTTTGTTCCCAACGAGGGACAACCGATTATTTTATTTTGTGTGCTTTTTAGTCCAGTTAGCGATTCGGCGCTTCCAGGTCGCGTTTGGCCAGTCATTGTACATGTACATGTAGCTGTAAAATGCATGCGTGCTTGCATGTGTGTGGACAGTTAAAAATGTGTTCTGGGGCCCCTATAGCAAGCCATTTTCCTAAACCATTTCGCCGCGGGACACCCCCGGACCCCGTCAGATTTTTCTCCATCCAAGTGTGGCAGCCCTGTTTTTATCCATCACGATCATTGGCGACACTCGCTCACATTCCCCGAAACACTGTGTATTGAGAAGGGAATGGTGCGTCCTTGTAAGTTTGAATCGAAGGCTCCAATAACGTCTCGTTTGCTCTGGATAGCAGTCGGGAGTCAGTCAAGTGTCAAGTTAGTCGGATGAAAGGCGCTAGCTACAGCGTGGGCAGAACCTGTCTTATAATCAACACCGAAACGCAACCGCTGTGCCGTTCTCTGGTCATTGCTGCAGTAGTTCGCAATAACTCTAGGAGGTCTCTTGAATCGTCAAACACCGATCGCACCTCTTATTTCTAAATTAAATATTTCCCCACTAATCCATCATAGCCTGGTGTTTTCTAATGGCGATAGACCCTTCGATAGTGGAATTTAGTCAAGAAATGACTGAGATATGATGGATTTACTGATCGACGGATACTCGTAGATTTTTGACTGGTCGGACGGATAAGGGTTAAGCTCAAGATTGTTGTTTTTGTCCAAAGATGCCTTGGCTCCAATGGAAGCAAGCTATTTTCGCCTTTCTTTCTGTGGATCGCTGAATCTGGTCTTGAGCAAAGCACACGCCGTGTTACACGTGGCCAGGTCTCACGCCTTCTCCAAATTCCAATCATTCGTGGACCAGCATCTCGCGCGTCCATGCAATTCGTAGGCAGTGTACTGAGGCTTCCGGCAAAAATTCGTTGCCATGAAGATATTCTGGGTTTCAAAGCCCTGCTGTGCCCAGATGTTCTTGACGCGCTTTCTATGGCTTGACTCATTGGTCAGACATGTACATTTGATCTTTTGGCTTGGTCTCTAATCGACAAACTGACTTTTCCCCTCAAATACGTCAACTTCTCTATTTCTATTTCATACATCTGCTTCGTTTATTCCTTACTCTTTTCTTTCTATCTTTTTCTTTTCTTTCCCTTGTCATTTAATCACTGTCACTCACATACAAAATAATACCGTCATATAAAACACCAGTTTTTCTCATTTTTTCTATTTCTTGTTTTTCATTACCCTTAGCATGTTCATTCACATTCTTCATCATTTGTGAGAACTAGACCTGGTCTAGCGGTAAGGCATTCTACTGCCTGTAATTCTGGTGAAGTAAAATAAAGTAACAACAACAACGACAACCATCTACATGGTGGCTAGTGGGACGCAGCCGGCCCTCACTCTAAGTGTAAACACAGACACTGCAGGTAGAAGCTAGCACGCGCGAGCATCCACCAACACAACTTGATTATGTTTTAGTTTGTAAGCAAGCAGTGGCAGTGCTAGCCCAGTGATATTCTAACTTGAGAACGGTTTTATTCAACACACCATGAAGTAAGAGTCAAAGCAAAATGACAACCCAATTTCAGAAAATATAGAACACTCAATTGAAACTCGGATGTTGAGCCATAAATAAATGTAGAAAGGAAAAGGACATTATGGATACGAGTTAAGAATAACTCTCCATCACTGCAACATGATACTTTATACAGTCAGAAAGTGCAATAACTAGGCACAAAACTGGCAGAGTACTGAGACGTTCGACGTCCTGACACCTAGCTTCAACACATCTCCGCAGCGCTGACGCAGGTATTTCAATTGACATAATATAAAATTGATTTCATTTTGTAACGCTTCCGTTTGCTTTTATACCTGCGCTGCTTCCAATAACACCATTCTAGCACATGTACAGTGGGCGAATTTCTGCGCTGATCAGAAATGTTGAAATAATGCATCTATGGCCATATGCTCTGCATAGCCATGGTGAGTCATGCTCTGCGCCTGATGACATCATCATCATCATCATCAGCAGCAGCACCATCAAGTAACGACTGAATCCAGAAATCCATAATGACAACATAGTCGCTCCGTCAATGCCATCCGATCATCACAAATCAGCCAGGTGTGTCGACATCATCACAATTCAGGAATGCATATCACAGCGACCATAAGCGTTGCGATTGCATTGCATCACCGTCTGCCGCACGACTCGACGATGACGCCGTGCCTGATCCTCGTGCATCACCGGCAGCCGCACGAGTCCACAACGACGTCGTGCCGGATCCTTGCCACCATCGTTCCCTGCACTTGGTAGATGAACGAAACGGCGCCCAGCGTGTTCGGTGAGCAGCACGGCGCGGGGATGGTGTGCTCCAGGGTTTTATTGCTGTGCAGCACGGCCTGCAACCGCGCGTGATTCGTGAGACGCATGCCGTTGGTCGAGCCCGGCGAGATGCACTCTCCGTTGCAGATTCCAATGTCGAGCGTCGCCGGCGCTATCAGAGAGTCTCCCAGGATGCCGGCGCTTAGGAAGTCGAGATTGTACTCCCGGCGCATGCAGCGGTGCAGGTTGGCGCTCTGCGATTGCTCCTGTGCAGGCGACGACGAGCGGCGCGACCTCCGGTACGGCGCCAGCACGCGCTGGTTGCCGTGACGACGAATCGGCTCGGAGTAGTCGTGGCTGTACACCAGCAGGACGGGCCGGTTAAGTTTGTGGAAACCGCGCACAAAGTGCACGTCAGGGCGCGAGCCGCACTTCATGCTCTCGTTGTTGGCCAGCACGTCCAGCTGGAGGCCGTGATTCGGCTCGCCATTCATCCACTGCTTCACCGCGGGTAGCACGTCAAACGTCTCCCAGCGGATCTTGTCCTGGTTGCGGATCATCGGGCTGAATGCTATCACCTTCTGCGTGATCAGCTCCCGGTGGCTGCCGTCCTCACCCACCCGGTAGATGCGCACGATGCGAACGCCGGAGCCGGAGGATCTCGCCGCTCCCACCCGCAGCTTGGTGTTCAGCAGCAGCTCGGCGCGCACTAGCTTCTCCTTGTGGCTGGCCTGGTGCAGGTCAAACGTGATGATTCCGCAGTTGTTATGACCTGAGGCAGATGGAACAATAGCAAATAGCAGAGGGAATGAAAAATGAAATTAGACCTTGATGGAGACAAGAAACAGGTTTTTTTTTTAAGAACTCAGCTCTATCGATCAGTGCTCAAGCTGACTTTCATGCCGTGGAATGTCTCAGTACTCCCTGTCAGTTTTGTGCTAGACTTTGCACGTCTGACTGTCCTATTTGCTAGGCCAACTCGTTTCCCACCCATTACTAGTCGTTCTGCGTAGACTCTACGTGCGGACAGAACGCACGCTGGAGAAAGCGCAGTTGCAAGGTTGCCGATGAGTACTGATAATGCCGTACAGGATGTATTGTTCCCGTAAACTCAGGGAGTCATGGTTTCCAGTACATACTCTACACAAGACGAGGAAACCTTTATTGCTGTCAATCAAAGTCTTGCCGCACAGTGATATAAAGTTTAAACAGCTTTCCTGCACCCAGGGCCACTACAATCAAGCCCTCTGAGAGACACGAAGAGCTTGCGGACGAACCCCGGTTTCCTCATAGCACCATAAAATGGGGTTGCATTTTTGTTGTTTTTGCAATGTGGTTATGCAATCACGAGTGAAACGAGGGTTGCCTGCTGCTCCTCGTTGCTAGTGTTGAAGAGAAAAAAATCACGCCTATCTGCTGCCGCTAGCTGCCAATATTGACACTCTCCCTGCGTTCGCCACCTCAAACTGCTGAGGTGCCTCGTGCTGTAGCACTATCACACCTTGGTCCGCTCTGCGTTAATCTGGCATCGTACTTTTGTACTCTGGTCATGCTGCCATACTCGCGGTGTTGCCCGCGTGGGTACGTCTTTTGCTTTTGCGCTCGCCACGTGCTTATGCGCCCCGCCCCGTCTTATCTGGTGGGCTCTCGCGCCTTATTTCCCTTAAAAGCATGGTGGTGTTGGTCACTATGGACCGGGTGGCATATTGGGACTTCGCCTCTTCCATACGTGGTATATTGTGCTCCACCACCTAAAAATGTTTGGCATTTAAGTGGTCTTTGTAAAAATAAAATAAACCAACATGCAGTTAGTCGGGCATCCTATTGCTTACCTTTCTTTCGAGTGTGCCTCATAGGAATTGCTCGTATTATGTCATACTGCTCCGTAAGGTTTTTGTTTATGTCAAACTGTTCCACGTCTCGACTCTTACGCAGGTTCTCCTCGCTTTGTTCCATCAGCTGCAGAATGGTATCTTTTCTCCGTTGTTCTTGACGCGTCGACATCGATTCCCTCGCCGGATCCCTAAACCCAGTGTCTGTGGTGCCGTTGGGTTTCGGCCCGGACAAGTCCTCCTCTCCCATGATGACTCGTGCTATCTTCTTGGCTGTTTCGTGTGCGTCGGAGGTTGACACCGCCGGTGCATGCGTCGTCAGTACTGTAGCTCCCCGCGTCCAACTCACCGCTAGGGCCAGCGCTAACAGGGGAGCAAGCAAAGCTTGTGCAGAGAACTCGGTCCGTAGAGAGTGGCGCATGGTCACGGCGGGGGCTGCTGCTCCTCTGCTTTATCCAATTGATGCTGATGGTGGAGATGTCCGAGCCAAGGGAGGCAAACAGGTCCGATGCCACACCACCACACAGAGCACCACAATCTGTTCTCGCTTCCTTTCTATAATCCTCTCGAAAATCCTCTGTCGGCCAATACTCCTGATGTTTGTGTCCCTCTCCAGTATCTGAGCGTTGATGGATGGAATTATGTATCTTTCAGTTTCTCTAAGAGCGATGCCGCAATGGCTAAAACCGTTATGGAACACTGGTGGCTCTCCGAGGGCACTATCGGCTTCTGATGGTTGCGTCCGGTACTCCCAACTCTTTATAACTCTTCTGTCGACAGCTCTGAGCAGGCCAGAAGTAGAGGGAGAGTCACGCTGCTAAACCAGGAGCACACGACAACACACAACCGTGCCATGGTGTTGTTTATTTGCTGTCCGCACAGAACTGCACTGACCAATCCTCGGTGTCTATTGCAGGACGCCGTGGGACTGTAGGAGAAGAAAACTGGTGCCTGCTGGATGGCTGTCAACCCAAGAACGGCGGATGAAAGTAACAACATGTACATGTAGATTGGAACCAGGGAGTAGTACCTTACCGTATTGTACTACTCCCTGGACGCAACTAATACTGGTACTTTTTCTCCATTAGTGAAATATTTTAATCAAAATCAAGGATGTCTGGTTCCTTGTTTCGTGAGTATTTATTATAGTTGCAAAGCCGAAATGATTTGGTACCTCTTTAGTATTCAAATTTCCACGAGTGATGCCAAATTTGGAACAGGTTATGCACAGGATACTTTCCAGGGATGTCCAAGACCAAAACCTTCCTGCCACGATCCCGGAACGGATGCATTGAATATCTGTAATCCATACGAGGTGCATGGTGGTTTTTATGTGAAATATTTTGTTTTGCTCTTTTGTTTTGCTCTACTTTGCGACCAACGCATGCCATATGCAGGCCTGCCTGCGAATCATGAGGTTCCGAGTTCAACACCCGCGCTGGTAGCAAGGAGCGTGTAAAAAGCCTTTGCGATGCACTAACATCGTGTGCAAGGCGTTTAGCCTCCACGTATGTGCACCCAGCATCTTTGTCGGCTTTCACTGCATGCAGATTGATAGCGTTGGACAAGCAACTCGGTGTCCGTCCGATTGGAATAGGTGAGGTCGCTCGACGGATTATAAGCAAGGCCATCCTCTCCGTCATCGGCCAAACCGTTCAGGAGGCGGTTGGGTGTATACAACTATGCGCTGGCCAAGATTGCGGTATAGAGGCGGGAATACATGCGCTGTAGCAGGCTTTTGAGCTGGATGACACCGAAGGAATTCTGATGGCGGATGCAAGTGATGCGTTCAACAGACTGAATCGACAGACCGGCTTAAGAAATGTTCGGCACTGGTGTCCATCACTTGCTACCGTTCTAATTAATACCTACCGTGATCCAGCTCATCTCTACGTGGACGGTGAAAGTATCCTGTCACAAGAAGGGACAACACAGGGTGATCCCCTTGCAATGTGGCAGATCTGCCCGTTTGGTTGACAACCTGCCCACACGGAGGAGATGCACAAACCGTGACTAAAGCAATTCGCAGACATCCTTTCCCAATCACTATCACGGTATTGTTCAACTACAGCCTTGATGATGGTGTGTTCCCATCGTCCGGGAAATCATCCACCGTAATACCGGTGTACCAGAATAGAGGTTGCGCCAAAGAGCCTACCAATGACAGACCTATATCTCTTCAAAACATGATGCAACCATGTACATAATGAATGCCCTATTAAAATTTAAACAATAAATAATTAGTAGTTGGTTAGGGCATTGCTCGCGAGTAGCAAGGTCCCTGGTTCGTGTCCCGGTGGTGTGACTGAGGATTTTTTTCTTTCTTTCATATCTGGCTTGCAAGTGTAGAGTTTCGGAGAGAAAAGAGCCGTACGCGGCATATGGCCTCAAATTTCCTAACACTTTCTCGCGGCTCTTCTGCAAATAATCTTTCGTTATGCCGATATAAGACAACATGCGGGTATCGCTCATTGTCTAGTAGGATTGCTTTACTTTGGAATGCTCTGCCCTTTGAAATGAAGTCTTGCAATACGTCTTCTGCATATTTTAACGCCCATCTAGCCTGCCTTCTTAATAACGGGCCACAATGTACCCGGTTAAAACACCTCCTTTTTGAACATGTTTTCAATGAGTGATGTGGGGCTTTGTTTTGCTCTAATTGGTGCTTTTCTCCAATGTCCTGCAGTCGTATTTATTCAGCTTTTATTTCTTGTGTACTTGCATACTGGTATTAGTTTAGTCTCACAACCTGCCATAAATTTAATTAATGATCAGCTGTAGCACCTACTCCACTTTTATGTTTATGTATCCCATTGCCCGGGCAACAAAATCCAAAGTTGTGTCTGTCTACAGAAAAATGGCCACAGAAAACCCCAACCCCAACACACTCACTGGCACACATCTTCCCAAGCGATGTGCCTTCTTTGTCGGGAATGTTAGCCCTGGAAGTAAGGCACAGTCCATTGTCACCTGGTGCGCTGATAGGGGCGTTGATGTATACGCATGCACAATTGCCGAAACCCAATACTTTGGTACCTGCTATGCACGCGTTTCTGTCGCGGAAGAGTTTGAGCAAACGCTGCTTGACAAGGAATTCTGGCCCGACACCATTGCGCACACCGTCCGCAAATGGCGCTATGCCGACTCCGCTAGCAAGTGATGGGTCCTCGGTCACCTAGCCAACAGTTAAATCCTCTTGCCCAACCCTTTGTGCCCCACGCAAGTTCATCACACCCTTCCCCTCATTGCGTTACATATTCTTCTATGTCTAGTGGTCATATTCCACTTGCACCACCATTCCTTCCTGATTCTGGACAACAAACTACTAAAACTCCTAATCAACAGCAGCTCCACGACGCCCCCTACCACAAACTAATGTCGGTCTTCACCCCGTTGAGCGCTCATGCTTTCCCGTTTTTCCCGGACCACGCACATTCTATTAACATTGTAACTATCAACTGTCGCTCTGTAACAAACAAACTTCCGGAATTGTACGCAATATGTCAGGCCAACAAGCCCACCATAATATGTTTAACAGAAACCTGGCTAAGCCCGTCACTTTCATTCAGTGTTCCAGGCTACACATGCTTCCGTAAAGACAGATCTACACATAAGAACCTGAGATCAAACCTACGTGGATATGGTGGCGTGGCCATTCTCATACGTGATGGGACATTTCCACATTGCACCCGTCGCCATGACCTTGATTCTCCCCAAAGCGAGGCCTTATGGCTTGAGCTTGGTGCACCGGCAGGTCTCCGGGCCAATCCGCTACTCATTTGCTGTCATTACCGCCCCCCTTCACAATCCCTTCTTGATATCACCTCCTTTTGCGACATACTTACCGACACGCTGTGTTCCTTGGACCTCTCTTTATTTGATGTTTTTCTTACCGGTGACTACAATGCCCACAATTCTGACTGGTGGAGTGGTGACACCACATCGCGTGCTGGTACGGAGCTATCACACGTGTTCTCTAGCTTTGGCCTCCAGCAGCTTGTCAATTTCCCCACCCGTGTCGCTCCGAATGGAAGACTGTCTTGTCTGGACTTGCTTGCTACGAACCGCCCCCTCTCTGTACGCTCTGTTGACGATGCTGCCCCGCTTGCTGCATCGGATCATTTGCAAGTCATTACAACGCTAGCCTACAACATTGCCACTGCTGACACCTCTTACAACTGCTCTCAGACTCCTACCCCTCCGCGACATGCCTTCCGCAAGGTTACACCCTCCACTTGGTCAATCATCAACTCTGCACTTTTTGCCTGTGACTGGCATCTTTTATTCACCTCCACTACTGTTGATGAAGCTGTGGAGAAGTTCACCACAGTTCTTGATGACGTGCTCTCCTTCTATGTGCCACAATACGGAGCAAGACCCGCTACACCCAAACATGGCAGCCACCACCCTCGTCAGTCCAGCCGTAACCCCAAGATCCCTTGGCTCGACAAAGATCTCCAAGGTGCAATTAAACTCAAATACGACTACTATAGCTTAAGTAAGAAGTACTCCACCTATGCTAATATTTCTTTATACAAAAAACAGCGCAATCTGGTGAAGTCATTGTCACGTTCTAAGTATCGAGCATATTTACGTTCGCTCACTACCACCCTATCTCACCCCTCTTCCAGGCCTAACCTGTATACCTTTGTTCGCACTCAAAGGACAACTAGTACACGTCAAGACATACCACCGTTATTAGCTTCCAATGGTTCGATGGTGACTGACCCCAAGTCTATAGCTAATACTCTCAATACGCAATTCACATCAGCTGGTATTCCAGACGACCATTCCTCTCCAATACCACCTCTGCAACGTTCTGCGACTGTGTCTTCTGATCTGCGCTCTATACATACCACCACATCATCTGTTCGCAGCTACCTAAAAAGACTAAAAAGCAACAAAAGCCCTGGTCCTGATGCCCTACCAAATGAAGTTCTCAAAGTTCTGGCTCCATCTCTGGCGTACCCACTGTGCCTTATATTCAACCTTTCCTACTCCTCCGGCGTATTTCCTGATCGTTGGAAGATCGCTAAGGTCACGCCCATCTACAAGTGTAAAGGCTCCCGATCACAAGCCTCAAACTATCGTCCAATATCTCTTCTCTGCTCCCTTTCAAAAGTATGTGAAAAGGTATTTTACGACCAGTTGTATTGCCACATTTCACCATGCCTTAGCCCTTCCCAATCTGGCTTTCGGCGCAACGACTCAACCTCTGACCAACTAGCTCGTCTAGTACAAGACATTGCCACCCTTCGTGATGCTCGACACCATATTGCTCTCTGTTTCTTTGACTTGGCAAAGGCCTTTGATACTGTCTGGCATCGTGGCCTCCTTGCCAAGCTACATATTGTCTTTGGTGTGTCTGGCCCTGCTCTGTCCTGGCTGGAGTCCTATCTGAGTAGCCGATCACAGTTTGTTTCTGCCCTCTCCATCAACTCTGATCCTCTACCAGTGTCTTCTGGAGTTCCCCAAGGCTCCATACTTGGACCTCTTTTGTTCGTAGCATACGTAAATGATTTACCCTCTATAGACCCAGGTGTCTCGTTATTTGCTGATGATACAACCCTACTGTCAGCATCCTCGTCCTCAGCGGCTCTTGTACCTCGAGTGTCGGCTCAGATATGCAGTGTCCTACGCTGGATGCAAACATGGCGACTTAGACCCAACCTGACTAAAACCGAAATAATGTTCCTTCCCCCAATCTCATCCATGTCACTTTTACACCATCCTGATTTCCCAGAACCCATAAAGGTTGTTTCCAACCATAAACACCTGGGAATAATGCTTGATGATCGTCTCTCTTGGTCTTTCCATATTGATGCTCTTTGCAGCCGTTCAAGCTCTGCCCTAGGTGTTATACGTCCCCATTGTTTCCATCTTCCTTTCAAATGTAAAATTTTGTTTTACAAACTGTACATCCTGCCTCTTTTCATGTACGCTGCTGTTAGCTGGTGTGGCTTGTCCTCGGTTCTCGCTGAGCATCTCGAAAT